CTGGCCAACTGACTGGAAGAGAGCCATATCTGTACCCATTCCAAATAAAGTTGATCCCACAGAATGTGGAAATTATCTAACAATATCCTTAATATCACATGCAAGTAAAATCTTACTGAAGGTAATTCAAAAACAGTAGCAGCAGTTTATTGAAAGAACTTCCAGAAATGGAAGCTGGATTCAGAAGAGGATGTGGAATGAGGGTTATCATTGCTGATGTCGGATGGATCTTGGCTCAAGGCAAAGAATACCAGAAAGATGTTTACTTGTGTTTTATTGACTATGCAAAGGCACTTGATTGTGTGGATCATGACAAATTATGGATAACATTGAGAAGAATGGGAATTCCAGAACATTAAATTGTACTCATGAGGAACCTGTACATAGACCAGGACGCTGTTGTTTGAACAGAAAATGGGAACATTGCATGGTTTAAAATCAAGAAGGGAGCGTGTCAGGGTTGTATCCTTTCATCGTACTTATTCAATCTGTATGCCGAGCAAATAATCCAAGAAGCTGGGCTATATGAAGAAGAACGTGGCATTAGAATTGGAGGAAGAATCATTAACAATCTGTGATATGCTAACGACATAACTTTGCTTACTGAAAGTGAGGATGACTTGAAGTACTTACTGATGAAGATTGAAGACTACAGTCTGCAGTATGGATCACATCTCAATATAAAGAAAACAAAAATCCTCACAACTGGTCCTATAAGCAACATGATAAATGGAGAAAAGATTGAAATTGTCAAAGACTTCACATTACTTGGTTCTACAACTGACGCCAATGGAAGCAGCAGTCAGGATATCAGACAAGGTATAGCACTGGGCAAATCAGCTGCAAAGGACCTCTTTGAAGTGCTGAAGAGCAAAGATGTCTCCTTGAGGACTAAGGTGTGCCTCACACAAACCATGGTATTTTCAATCACCTCATATGCATGTGAGAGCTGGAGAATGAATAAGGAAGACCGAAGAAAATTGATGCTTTTGAGCTGTGGTATTGGCAAAGAATGCTGAAAGTACCGTGGACTGATAAAAAAAACTAACAGGTCTGTCCCAGAGGAAGTGCAGCCAGAATGCTCCTTGGACGTGAGAATGGCCAGACTTTGTCTCCCCTACTTTGGTCATGTTGTGAGAAGGGACTATTCCCTGCAGAAGAATGTCATGCTTGGTAAGGGAGAGGCTCGACGGAAGAGGGGAAGGCTCTCAACGAGATGGACTGACATGATGGCAGCGGCGATGGGCTCAAGCATAGCAAGAATCATGGAGCTGGCTCAGGACTGAGCAGTGTTTCGTTCTGCTATGCACAGGGTCACTATGAGTCGGAGATGACTCAATGGCACCTAACAACAACAACAATAGGAAAAGCCTAGATTGCCTCGAAAAGACTGTTAGTAGAATTATGAATGTCAAAAGCAATTCTGTCAGGGCTCAGAAAGAAGCAAGGAGAGCTATAAAACCTCTATTGTCTGAGGGTATACACACAGCACTGGCCACAGAAGATTGCTAGAAATGTGGCTGTTAAATGTGCTTCTGGTGAGGCTTTAAAACAAAATGATGAACATGGGACTGGACAATGAACAAAGGGCTATGCTTTTCATACAGTGGCAAAGAACTTGTCTGAATTATATTCAAAGTTTTGGTGGAAGGTAGATCCTGTTAGTGATGAACTTGGATATAAGGCTGACGAGGCCTCTAAGCAAGCTCTTAAAGGGACTTCGTGGTTTCTCCTTGCCATTTGTAATAGTAAAACGTGAGAGGAAAGAGATTTAAAAAGGAACTGTGCAAAATGAAAACAGATATGAAAAATTATGTTGAACAAACTAAGGACACGAGTCTTAGAATAGTCACCAAGGATGTGGCTGCACATTGTTAAAGAGATTAAGCCTATGACTGATGGGCTGAACCAAATACCAACAAAAACCCAGATTCAACTGTAGGGGACAGAGAAAGGAGGAGAGTATGCTGTCTGTGTCTTGGAAT